CCTGCCATCACCCCTGTCACATGCTGTAGAGCCCCAACAAGGTTCATCACATGGGTGCTGCCCACCAACAAGCAGCACCTGAACCAGCTTTCAGTCCCTAAAACACCATGCTGAGACCATGATCTCCTCACACTGAGCCCCTAGAGAAATAAGTAAAGCAACCAGTCTATTTAGAGTCTGTTCCTTGGGAATGTTCGTTGGAAGAAGTAAGCCTGCAGACACTGCACTAAGGAGATCCCCTTTAATGATGGGAATGCTGTTATGGAGGTCAGCTCTGTCACAGAAGTGCCCATGGCCTGTCCTTGTCTGCAGAACTACCATGCAGCAGGACTGTGACCAAGCTGCCAGAGCACTCGGGCCTTTCGCCAACAGAGGGGCTGAGAAGGAGAGTGTGGAAGTGGAAAGTGAGCTGCTCTGGGAAGACCAAGCACTGGTGCTCCCTGGCAGTGCTGCTGTGCTGGGAGCATTTTCCCCTCCACCTCTGAACACAGGTACTGCCTCGAAGCTTGATGAAGATCTCAGAGGAAGGATCTAAGACAAAAAAGTTGCTGCAGGGTCCTTTAATGTGTTTAAATGCGCAGAAAACACTGCACCTCATTTACACAGTGTCTGGGTCAAATTCTACAGGCAGACAGTGAATTAAAAGTGGGTTACATGTTGAAATTTCATTGTGAACAATATTATCATAAGAAAACCAAGAAACATCAAACCAACACCACCACTACCAAAAACCTGAGAGGGCACGCTGAGCCTGTAATGACTTGTATTATGAACACTGTGCAGAAGAAAAAAGGCCGTTTATTGTTTCTGAAAAATATCCATTCTCCTCAGGGCATCCTTGATTTCCTTGTTCTTCAAGCTGTAGATGAGGGGGTTCACGACTGGAGGCACCACCGAGTACAGAACTGTCATCGCCATATCCAGGTATGGAGAAGAGATAGAGGGGGGCTTCAGGTAGGTAAACATGCCAGTGCTGAGATACAGGGAGACCACAGCCAGGTGAGGGAGGCACATGGAAAAGGCTTTGTGCCGTCCCTGCTCAGAGGGGATCCTCAGCACAGCCCTGAAGATCTGCACATAGGACACCACAATGAAAACAAAACCAGCAGAGAATAAACAGGCACTAACGATGATAAGTCCAACTGCCCTGAGGTAGAAGTGTGAGCAGGAGAGCTTGAGGATCTGGGGGATTTCACAGAAGAACTGGTCCACAACATTGCCCTGGCAGAGAGGGATTGAAAATGTATTGACCATGTGTAGCAGAGCATGGAGAAACCCAGAGCCCCAGGCAGCTGCTGCCATGTGGACACAAGCTCTGCTGCCCAGGAGGGTCCTGTAGTGCAGGGGTTTGCAGATGGCAACATAGCGGTCATAGGCCATGACAATGAGAATAAAATACTCTGCTGAAATGAAAAAGACAGACAGAAAGAGCTGTGCAGCACATCCTGGGTAGGAGATGGCTCTGGTGTCCCAGAGGGAATTGGCCATGGATTTGGGGACAATGCTGGAAATGGAGCCCAGGTCAAGGAGGGAGAGGTTGAGGAGGAAGAAGTACATGGGGGTGTG